AGCCCCATCATTGGATGTGAAGGGACGGACGTGAAACATTTTTATAGTCATAGAAGACAACTTATGAGACGTTTTAGCAATGTCGTTTAGGGACTAGATCGTTTATCGAAGGCAACATTGAGGGTCATCGAGGAACTACGATCTTTTATCGAGGGTCTTTGCTAAAACGCCCATATTCGAGGGACATGACTATTTTCCGATATGCAATAAAATGGGATTAGGGTGCTAGTGTGCAAGTGTGTTTGATTTTCATGCATTTAGTCTTGATTAGGGTTATCTATTTGTTGATTTTATGCCTGCCATATACACCCTAATTACTAGCATTTATGTTTGAAAGCAATAAATTGCAAAAATGTAAAGGTCTTACGCTATTACATCATTTAGGGATGGGGGTACAAATTTACAAATGGGAGTTGCAAGAATTTAAATCCTAATTAACTATTACAACCATATTGAAATGTACAATGCAAGAAAGAAAAAGGACTTGTTTAGAAAATGATTTTTTTGTCTTAATGAATCAAGAAAAAGAAATAAATTAATTAATAAAAAGAAAATATTTTTATGTCTTTTTTATATTAATAAAAAGGGTATTAATATTGAAAATGATAAAAAAAAAAAGGGAAATAATGAGAGATGGGATTAGCATGCTGATGAAAGCAAAACAAAGGGGATAAAAAGCTCTGATGTCGGGCACATTGTGGTTTAGAAAGAAAATTCAGAGGAAATCAGAAGTTCTGGATTGATACACTCTGAGGTCCTGCAAGAAACGTTAGAGGAAAAACACAGAAGTTCTGGATTGCTACGTGCTGAACTTCTGAGTGTTAGAACGTGAGAAAGTCTTAGAAGTTTTGTGTATTAAAACAGTAAGGAGAACTCAGAAGTTCAGTATGTGCTAAGACAGTGAGTGCACATCAGAAGTTCAGTGTGTGTTAACAGCGAGTGAAAATCAAAAGTTCTGAGTGTTAAAATGGTGAGGAGAACTTAGAAGTTCTGTGTTACATTTCAACTCTTTCCTCATATTAATCAGCACATTAGCAATTTATTCAGTCCTTAACAGCAAATCAGAAGGATAAAAGCACAACAGTTTATAGAAGTTCTAATTCTAATTCTGAGCCTAGCTTTATTCAAGAAGTTCTGATCCATAGTTTTTTCACTTATGCAATGATATGGACAATATTAATACTATGGTATTTACATATTAATGATGTTCTGAATGAAAAGATGCAAAGTCAGAAAGACTTACCTTGAATCTGGAACGTGTGCCTAGAACTTGAGATGATGTCTTCAGATGCTCTGGAGTCAATGAGAGCAATGGAATAGTGGTTATGTTCTTTGATTCAAAGGGAAGAACAAAGATTTTGTTTGGGGTTTGCGAAGGTTTTTACTGTTTTCTATTCTCTCTTTGATAATTCTCTCTCTCTCTCCAAAAATCAGCCCCCTGAACATGTGATGGAGAAACTTATTTATAGATGGGTTTGTTGTGGTTTTGAGGAGAAAAACAAATGGGATTCTTAACCTTTTTGGCATACTGTTCCATTGCTTTTTAAACACAGTTTTTGTATGCTAATTTGGTGCAATTATGGGGTTTGAGAAAAATGCAAGCGTGGACTGGATCAGCAGTACCTTGAGCGTTGTGGCAACTGATGGCAGAACTACTACAGCAGTGCAGCAGGTTGCTCAAATGAGGTTTTGGGACTTGGTGATGTTCTGATCGCAGGAGACTAGAGTGAGATTCGAAGGGTGAGGCTCTGATCGAAGCATAGAACATAGCCTCCATATGCTGAAAGTCATGTTCTGATTGATGAGTCATGTTCTGAACCATATTTGCAAATTCTGATTGCTCTTACGTGAAGGCTGGCCCAGAAGTTCTGAAGTATCATATTCTTTTAACACTTAGAAAATTTTCTAAATGTTTAAAATTTTGATTTTTCAAAGTAATTTTTTACTTCTGATTTTTGATGAACCAATTTCATGTCTTGATGAAATATAATTGTTGAAACTTGATTTTTGATCTAAAAGTCAAAGTTTAACTTTTCAGTGTGCTTTTGACCATTTTGCACTTGGAATGATTTTCTTGGAAAATTGTAATTCAAGACTTGAAACTTGATAGAAGCAAATCCGATGGTCCAGGATGATCCTTTGAGAAATGAGAGGGTAAATTTTGGAGTACAATACCCTCGATGACGTTTCGAATGTTACCTTATAAATGATCTTAGCCCCTCAAGAGAAATGTTAAGATATCTCACAACATTGTTATTCGTGACTATACGATAACCCACGCTCGTCCCTTTACATCCAAAGATAAGGCTTCTTACCAATCAATGGTAAGTTAGCAACATCTAAAGGAGGAGTAAGAGAATATTTAAAACCTTTTGAGTAGGTAGAATGCTCCTAGTTGTTCGTTTGCTCACAACAAAAACATTTTATACATCAAAACTTTCATTTTGAAACATTTTCAAAAGACAAACACTTTGTATGTGTTCTTATAGAGACGAGAACCATTACAAAGACACCTTTTCAAAATCACTTTCAAAAACAAACACGTCTTTGAACTATTTTCCAAACAAACACTTTGTACGCGTTCTTATAGAGACGAGAACCATTATAAAGACCTTTTCAAAATGCTTTCAAAACCCATATCACAAGCACACTTTCAAACAAAAGCAAGTGATCTAGCAAGCAACTGAGAGCCCATAAATAACTATGGATGAAAAGAGTGTTAATACCTTTCCTTTTCATAATCTATCCCCCGAACTCAAGAAAAGAATCTCAAAGGTCTTTCCTGTTCTTTTCACCCTTTCCTTTATTAGATAAAAGAAAAGTCGGTGGCGGCTCTTGCTACCCGTAACAATTGCGATCAAACGAAAAACACCCAAGTCAGTTCTCCCACCGTATTACACTTATGAATTACACTACGTCCATAATCCACCTGGTTCCATTGCTCTACTACACTTGTTCGATCCATTAATAACAATAGTTCATTCTCGACATTCGTCCAATCAGAATACGTGCTAAGGTCCCGAACACACTCAATAAGGATTACTTCTCGAGGTTAAGAAATTTCCAAAATCAGGTCACTACTGAATTCATCAGTCTTGGTTAGGTCCACTGAACACAACTCAGTCACATGCTTCGCTTCCAGAACGTCTAAGGTCGAATACTCACTGAATATGAGTTCACCTTATCCTACCGACTTCGACATTGTACAACTGCTACGATAACTCTTCCAACTTATCCACGGTTACTTCCGAACCATACCACTTCATAGTTTTCGTGTGACAACACCTCTATTAACTCATGTGACTTAACTGATGCAATAATCCTTTCACAATTACACTTCATCCACGTAGTCGTCTAATGTCGTTGTAACCCCTCTGTTTGCCTTCGAGATCATTGACTAATCCTACAAACCAATACAAGTCTTTACACGTCTTCCCTCAACCATGTAGTCACATACCTGCACAGCCTCGGGATCCTTCTCATACCTGATACAAATTAAGTTTCGCACTTAAAGCTGCTAGGAGCGTCTCACTACTAAGCCTTATTGTTTTCCAACTGTCACTAAACTGACTTCCTCAATTACATTCCCTAATACAATGTTTCTAATGTCTAGAGCATGTTATGATGCAAGGAATCATACTTCATGCTTCGAACATCCGGCTTTGAAATTTCTCTACACTCTAAATCCAATGTGTTTCTGCTTACCAAGACTGTCATTGCTTCACTCCTGAGAGTTTACAAATACTCTCCTAGATACATCTCATATCGACTAACCCAAGATATACTTCATCCATTCTAACACTGATCACCAATATTAATGAATAGCGATACTATGTGCTGGCCAGGATATGATTACCACGCATCAATCCCACTATAGGCATTCGCGCACAACTTAACACTTTCTGAAACCAGAAACATTTACAAGGTTCCATCTGATATCGCTCACGCAGTCACGATCGCTCAGGGTCCTCATAAGTGTAGTATCAGAACTTAATCCATCCTACTATTGCTTGATTGACTAGATCTCCGCTATCAAGCTCGACACATGAGTCCTTATCACGTCTACCTTATGAGAATTCAAATTTGCGTCTCACAAGTACCAAATCGAAACCTTACCTCGAGGTCCAGATTAACATTGTCCCCCATCTATCGGGAAAAGACGACCCACGCGTTTCATGTGCAATAGTGATACCGTGTTGTTATACCTGTTTGATAGTACTAACATGGTAGTCCAACTCCGAGGCCATGACCTCAAGTAACATACCTCAGTAGCGTATAACGAAGTATGATTGGTATCAAGCAACAATTCATTCAACTTGTCTTTCAACTTGTCGAAGGATGTGGTGCCATCTGAAAGCTTGAATTCAACAGAAGGATTATTTCCGTTGAAATACACTTTCGCCTTAATCAGAAATTCAGGAATAGACATTTTTTTAGATGTCTTTCTCTAAACCTTAAATGCCCCCTATTTATACAAATGGTGATGCATTCTAGACCACACAAATTTGTTGGTGCAATCAGAACCCACAAAAGATATCGGCAAAATTTCGATTGTTAAAAAAACTTGAATGAATAAACTACCGAAAATTTCAGTATATTTCAATTTTCGGTAATGTCTATAGTAAATCTGAAATTTCTAGAATACCAAAAATTCCAAATGTACTACCAGAAATTTTAAAGAACCGTAAATTTTGCAACGTCCTACCATAAATTTCAATACATTAACCAGAAATTTCATTCGAAAATTCTTCCCATCTCACCAAGGATATTTTTGAAATAATGAAAATTGAGGGGTGTTATGTTAAAAGCTCAAGTTTAGGGAATTTGGGCCTATAATATTCACATGTTAGAAAGTATTCCTCAAAAAATGAGTTAATGTCGGGTGTTTGAGAATATATTGTGGTTGGACATCTTTGGTTTGGGATTTCAAAACCTGAATTTGTGCCTAATGAAGAACAAAAAGAAAAACATCTTTCAGGTATTAGTTTTAACTTGTGTGGTTATCTCTTTTTTGATTTGGATTCTTCATATCTTGAAGGTCCCCTTTTCAACCGCTTCAAGGCTGGACGTTTTGCATTCTCAGAATTGGGTAATTTTCCATCTACAAGTAAATTGAGATGATAGCAAGAATTAGAAATGAATGAAGCTAGGTTATACTATGAAGCGAAACAGAAGATTTTATGCTAGCAAAATAACAGCCACACATAATCATGAAATAAAAACAACTAGCAATATATTTAGCAACCACGACATCCTCATATTTTAAACTACCTAATACCTATCTTCACACAATTGTTTTTTATTTTTATGAAAATGAAACCAACCGTATTATTTTTACTAAATTAAATTTTAATAAGATAAAGATTTGAAAGGCACGCTTTTAAATTTTATATCCAACATATTAGAATTTCTGTTGAGTTTATAATCAGCCAAACGTATAGTTATGTAATTTCTAACCTGTGTTAGAAGCATCCGAAACAGCTTCCACCTTGATACTACTAGAATCTTTCAGCGTGGAATCATATCCTGATCGCTTTGTAGAAACAGTGACTATGCCAGGCTTCACCTTCTGTTCAGCATCTGCACATTGACCTTTGAAAGGCTCCATATAACAAAACCTAAAATGACAGCAGTTCACAATTAAATAATGAAAAATACATGCAATCTTAGCATATTGAGAAAGAATCACATGTTTGTAATAACTTTAATTACATATACCATCATTTCCCGGCCCAGCAGGAACTCACTTTCGTTGTTATTGTTAATTGTTCCCTTAATACGACCAAAGAGTCCATCTATCAAAACTAACTATTTTTACCATACAATAGTATCACTAGCAGCCTAACAGGAACAAATAATAGCAATACAGAAATAGAAACGGTTTAACATATATGCTAGTCGATTAACTTCATTTAATGGATTGCAGGGATGTTTGAAAACCAAAAGTCTCAAGTTCCATTTGGTTTATCCTAGGGAATGACTTGCGAATTAGATATAAAATCTTGAGAAAATACAAAATAACCTGAATTGCTCGAGTGAAATACTGGCATATGGTGGTTATATACAAGACAGAATAATTATATTGTACTATATACAAAAAAAATATATAAGCCAAAGCATTTCATAAAGAAGTAATGGTTCCAATCAAACCTGTCACAATCAAGACGTTTAGGGTTTTTATGCAGAACCGAGACCCTACCGAACAAGAGTTTCGTGATACTCGATGAAAACTGAATGTTATGCATTTCGGTATGAATAATATACAAGCAACAATCGTTTTATATGGAGTATTCTAGTTTAATGAGCCTGACCGAAGGTCAAAACAAATACTACTAATAGTAAAAATAACAATACTAATAACAGGTCACTGAGCATTGTAAAATTTTGGAGAATAGAGCAAGTGGCTTTGTTGTAAAAGGAAAACTCGTGGAGGAGAGTTTTTCAATCCTATTTGTCCTATTTTATCAATAGAAGGGTTCTTTCTTTTCAGTACAAATTATGGACTCATAACACTAAGATACTAATGGAAAAAACCCAAAGCCTAAAGGTTTATACAGTGATATCCCTCATCTTAAAAGTCGATTTTGTATAGAGATGAGTTATACCAAATTCTAATTCTATCATGCTATCGCGAGTTGGGCGTAAGGGCTTGTATTGGAAAAACCAAATCCCATGTATCGACAATTCGGGCTACCTGCCGTTTATATACACGAACTAAGCCCAATAGTTTTGGATGTGAGGGGTGTAGCCTAACTCATCCCTACAAAACCGATTTGTAAGGTGAGGGGTACCACTCTATATAAACCCTTTGTATAAATGGTGAATGGCCTAAATCGACAAGCTCTTGATATCATAATAGAATTAGAGTATAGCTTAGCGGAAGCCATCAATAATAGTTCAAGGAGGATCGAAACAAGCTCTAGATACCAGATTAGAATTTCCCTCACTTATAATGTGAAGATTAGTCTCACTTATAAACATAAGTTCAGGTCGTATATTATCCGATCTGAGACTCTTAACAAATATATGAACAGCTACATAGCTGCAATGCATTGTCAACGTTATCATAATTAGGGGTGTTCAGATCCAATCCGATCCAAAAAAAATCCAAAAACCGAACCGAAAAAACCGAAAACCAAAAAAAAATCGATTTTTTTTGGATGTATTGGGATCACCATGTAGCATAACCGACCGGTTCGGTTCGGTTTACGGTTGGCTTCATGAGAACCGAACCGGTCCAAACCGAACCGGTATTACTTCCATTTACTTGCCATTTATTATTTAAAATAAATTAATATCGAATCATTTATAGCCATCCTCCCAAATTAATTATGTTAGCCAGCACTAATTTCTCTAGAGAATCTCAATTATGCTGTCATATATAAAGCAAATCTTCTCTCTATATATAATGCAATTTGTCATATTATTATTATATATTCCTTGTGATGCAACTTTCGCATGTCCACTGTTATTGATATTTTTCTTGAAGTTTTATTATTATATTCGCTTTAATATAGCTTTGGAATCTTCATTTGTTCACTGTTTTATATATTTGTCATATATTTAATTTATAATACAAATCTCCATATAAGAACTAAGCATATCTCCATATATATTATATATTATAGCCATGTCTATTTCGTTGGGATAGATATTATATATATATTATAATGAAACTTTGCAATAATGACATCAAATAGCCATATGAACATAGCAATTAGATATTGTCTCAGTAGACGTTGGTGGCATAATTGTAACTGGTATTGAAATATATTCTTTTTAAATTTCTAAATAGTGTTGGTTTAAAAACCGAATAAAACCGATTCAACCGAACCGAAGTAAACCGTATAAATTGGATTGGATTGGATTGGATTTTTCTTGTTGTCATCCAAAAACCGAACCAAACCGTATGCTTTATATATTTTTGGATCGGATGATATTTTGTCTCAAAACCGATCCAAACCAGACCACGAACACCCCTAATCATAATACCATGTCTTCAATAAATATCTTCAACAAAAAGTAACTAATGGTGCAATATCATTATTGAATTAATAAGTATTATTGAATTAGGAGAGATTAAAAGACATTTAGGTTAAACTGTGTGTTTTAAAAGCACTACGGAGACTTTATTATAGAGAGAGATTACAACTAATTATACGATATAATCGATGTGGGACTATTCTACATATAAATATTCTTAACAATATATATTTACAAATATCAACACTCCCCCTTAAGCTGGAGCATATTAATAGACTAAATAGGGCTCAGTGCATGTTAGTAATGCCAGTTGTATGCTGATGTGTAACAATTCTAGTTGCTCTATATAAGAGCCTTTGTATTCTTTCATCGTTAACTATCAATATATGAAATGCACACTTTGCTTTATCCCTTTCTCTCTTATGAAACTCTATCATGGTATCTAGAGCTTTCCTTTTTCCGATCCAGTGACCTTAATCTATGGCGTCTCCGTTTCGCAACGACGGCGTGTTTCCTTCTTCTCACGTTAAGCTCTCACATCTTATCTCCTTCAAGCTTGATGATAAGAACTTCAAGCAATGGAAACAAATTAACGGTGTTGTTCGTGGCTACAAGCTTCAACGCTTCGTCACGGTTCCGGTGATTCCTCAACGTTCTCCTTCGACTTCCGATCCTAATCTTAGCGAGGTGAACGATGCATATCTTGATTGGGAACAACAAGATGCTCTTATTTGCACGTGGCTTCTCTCTATGGTCTCTGATTCGCTGCTTCCAAAACTCGTTGGCTGCACACACGCGTGGCAGGTTTGGACGGAAGTACATCGTTACTTCGCCGCGCTACTCACAACGAAAGCACGTCAGCTTCGCTCGGAATTGCGTCGTCTCTCCAAAGGTACTCTCACTATTGAGTCGTTCATGGCGCGTGTTCGTGAAATCAATGAATCATTGATCTCAATTGGGGATCTTGTTCCTCTTTGTAACCTAATTGAGATAGTTCTTGATGCACTCCCTGAGGAGTACGATTCTATTGCTGTTGCTGTTAATAGCAAGGAAGATCTTAGCTCTTTGGATGAACTCAAGTCTTGTCTCCTTGCACATGAATCGAGATTGGAAAAGCATCGCAAAGCGATCCTCACGGAACTGGTATCGATCAATTTGACGCAGGCTCCGTCGTCTGACTCGTCTTCTCTGGTGGAACCTTCGTCGCCTGCTACAGAGTCGTTTCCCACCGGTACTAGTCACGTGACTGCTCATGCTGAAAACAACAATTACAACTCCAGAGGAGGTCGTTATGGCCGTGGTGGTGGTCGTTTTGGCCGTGGCGGTGACCGTTTTGGTAAGCCTCAATGTCAAATCTGTCACAAAAGTGGACATGATGCTTTTGTTTGTTATTACATTATTCGCAATCCACTTCTATGCAGTTTTCACCTCAACGTGCTCCCTTCAATCCTTTCTTGATAAATGCCCGATCAATGTATGCACTTTCTTTTGGTTATGCTTCTCCTAGACCAGCTGCATTCAGATCTTCTCTACCACAAGCGTTTATGGCGTGTTCTGATCCAACCTTCAGCAATCAGTGGTGGTATCCTGATTCAGGTGCGTCACATCATGTTACACCTGATTCTTCTAATGTGTCTGATGCTCACTCTGTGACTGGCTCTGAGCAAGTATTCATGGGGAATGGCCAAGATTTGTCTATCAGCTCTATAGGTTCCATGAATTTTACCTCACCTAACTCTCCTCACAAACCATTCACCCTACACAATTTACCCCTTGTACCTCACATCACCAAAAACCTTATCAGTGTTAGCAAATTTTCCCAAGACAATCAGGTTTTCTTTGAATTTCACCCTTTTGTCTTGTTAAATCTCAGGCTTCTTCTAAGGTGCTTCTTCATGGCTTATACAAGTTTCAAAGTCCCTCTTCTCAAGTGTCCAAGTCTCTCCCTAGTCTCAATTCTAGTGTAGCTCTAGGTTCAAATAATTGTAATCCTAGTACATCATGTAATACTTTACTTCATTCCAATGCCAATTGTATTACTGCTTGTACTCCTTCAGTTTCAATGAATAAAAGTGACTTTTTCTGTGCTAATTCACCTCTTGTTCATGCTACTACTTGTACTAATTCTAAGTCTCTACAGCACCCTACTGTTTCTAATATTATTCCTAATAGCAAGTATGTCCTGTGGCATACAAGGTTAGGACATCCTCATTATCAAGCTCTTGCAGAGGTGTTGAAAACATGTAATATTCCTATACCTCCTAAGTCTCAGGTTGAACTCTGTACTGCATGTTGTTTACGGAAATCTCACAGACTGCCTACCTCTTTATCCACTACTGTGTATGCACAACCTTTTGAGTTAGTGGTGTGTGACTTATGGGGACCAGCTCCCATAAAGTCTTCAGGTGGTTACACCTATTTTTTGACCTGTGTAGATGTCTTTTCCAGATTTGTTTGGGTCTTCCTTTTGAGACTTAAATCTGACACACTCACTCAGTTTGTCCAATTCAAAACCATGGTTGAACTTCAATTCAACTGCAAAATTAAAGTTGTTCAGAGTGATGGAGGAGGTGAATTTAGACATTTCACCAAATATCTCAATACCCTTGGCATTACTCATAGGTTTACATGTCCCCATACCCATCATCAAAATGGCATAGTTGAACGTAAACATCATCATATTGTAGAAACAGGTCTAGCATTATTAGCTCACTCTAACTTACCTCTCAAGTTTTGGGACCATGCATTTGTCACAGCTGCTTACCTAATTAATAAGTTACCTAGTGCGTCTCTTGCCAACCAATCCCCTTATTTCAAGCTTCTTAACAAAGTACCTGACTACTTTCATCTTAAAATTTTTAGTTGTGCCTGTTTTCTGTTCATTTGTTCCTATAACTCTCATAAGTTGGATTATCGGTTCCAAGAGTGCATATTTCTTGGCTATTCTACCATTCATAAGGGTTATAAGTGTCTTGCCGGTAATGGTCGCATTTATAAGTGTCTATTTCTCCTTCACACTGCAAGCTTAACCATAATGGTGCTGGTGTATGTTGATGATATTATTATCACTGGTAATTCTGCCTCCTTTATTACTGCATTAATAAAAAATTTAAATACTGATTTTTCTCTCAAACATCTAGGCAAGTTGGACTATTTCCTTGGCATAGAGGTTACACACTTGCCAAATGGTTCACTCCTTCTCTCTCAAGCTAAATACCTGACTGATTTGCTGGCTAAGATTAACATACTCCATGCTTAATGG